TATATATATATATATATAAATAATTTATCGTCACCATTTTTGCCATATTGACGCACCACGGATACACCGCTCCTCTTTTCCAACGAAAGTCAGATAATATGTCGGAACAAAGTGGTATATATTTTATTTACTTTTACAGCTCGGAGAAAGGTACGTGCGAACATTTGGTTACGTTCGCTCTCGAAATCTTCTTTCTCGTATCGAACGTAGATTTATACTGTGTGTCATTCGGTGGATCTGAACGAAGAAGTATTCATAAGTCAATCACGACGAACGCGCGCGCACACACACATATACACACCCACACAAGTAACTTGTCAGTCACTTCTAGAGAGATTCTCGTCTCTTTCGTTTAACTCTCACTAAGCGCGCAGCACTCGATCACAATATTATCAGATGTACAAAGAAACGAACGAAGTCTGAAATTATATACATCGACGATGTTGTGTGTGTCGTTTTTATTGGGTCATTAACAATTGCGTTTTATTTTAATATTTTATTCTCCCTCGACGAGATAGCGAACACACAGCCCGGCGATGCCTTGTCCACCTTGGATTCCTGCTATCGGATTTTTCGTTGCCATAAAGAACGAAATCTTCGTGGCGTTTTTTTGCGATTGTGTTTTAATAAATCGAGACACGCAAAAATCGTAAGTAAAAGAAAAACAACACTCACATTCAATTATTCAATCGATCGATTAAAAAAAAAAAAATAAAAATAACTCGGAAAAATGCGAGCACGAAGAGATCTCAGCCGACACGAGAAATCCGCGCGAAAAAATTTCGCTTCGTCGATATCTCTCAGCAATCTATGATCATTTATGCATGACCAATGACAAACCAGAGCTCCGAGCCACACACTTTAATCTCTGCGATTAGACGCAGCGCGGAGAGTAAAGAGAAAAAGAAAAAAGAAAAAAGAAAAAGAAAAAGTACTCGAGCATTCACGTGGCTCGTAGAAATATTTCAACAGAGGCTGTCAGTAAAGAGTATCGATGGATATTCAGTAGCGACTCCTTTGATATCATCTGCTGTCTCTCTCTCTCTCTCTCTTTCTCTCGATCTATCCCGATCTCCACAACCGATCTCTTTATATTCACTCTTCCATCCCTCGACTCACGTCAATCGTCCCTGTAATTGACCATCAGCAAGAACCTCACAATTTGCCCATCTTATATATTATCCTATTTCTTTCTTTCTTTCTTTCTCTCTCTCTTTCTCTTTCTCTCTCTTTTTCTCGCCCTAATCATGCAAGAATACTTAGCAGCGTATCGTAACTAATCTTGTCCAGCGATATTAATAGCAGTCGTATCTTTGTTCTTGTTTGTTCCCGGTCCCGCTCGCTCGGCTATACGTTTGGCTCTGGTTCGTCATTGTTCTGTGTGTACCTACCCGCTACCTTCACGAACACGGACTTGCGCTGGGGGTCCATCCACACACGTGGCTCTCCGTGTGCCTCCTACACCACAAACATTGGTTCGTAATGGAAATATTTCTTTTTAATTGGGTGTCGATGCATATGTAACGGACTATGGTACTACTACTTCTTGATCTTTCTTTTTCTTTTTTGTTCTTTCTCTCTCTCACTCTCTCTCTCTCTCTCTCTTTCTCTCTTTGTCTTTATTTTTGTTTATTCTGTTTTTATTCTGTTTTTGTGTACTTCACGCTTTCTCCCTCTTCTTGTGCTGATTCATATCACGTGCATCTATATGTCTGTTCTATATATTTCCATTTTATACATCTCTGTTCTTTTTCTTTTTATATATATACATGTTTCTCTCTCTATATATATTTCTGTCTATTTATATACATCTACTGTTATTTTTTTTTCATGAATGCACTTATCGTTTAATTTATCGATTTATACGCGTGGCCTCCATTTTTTCTGTCTGCTATATTTATCGACTCGTTTAACTTTTTCTTGACTCGCTTTGCCTGCCTGTCGCTTTATAAAAAAAAAAAAAAAAAAAACCATACTGCCGCTCTTTCTCTCACACATTTCTTATCTGTTTCTAACGATGTCGAATGGAAAAATGTCTCGCGACGTCCAAATCTGGAACAAAAAAAAAAAAAAAAAAAAAAACATCTTGTTCACGACATTTGTTCGCGCGGATCCTCAGGTCCGCCCTCGGCGATCCTCGCGATGCGACTGTCACATCCGTTACACGGCAGCCTGTTGCCACCGGGAATCTGCTACACGTGCGACGTGTGCGGCAAGACTCTCTCCACAAAGCTCACCCTGAAACGGCACAAAGAGCAGCAACACTTTCAGCCCCTGAACAGCGCGGTCTGCGCACTGTGCCACAAGGTGTTCAGAACGCTCAACAGCCTGAACAACCACAAAAGCATCTATCATCGTAGGCAGAAATAGGAATGATTGCACACGCGCGTATCTCACGTGCCAAGAGACACTACGAAACGAGCTTAATAGAGACTTAAAACAAGGAAGAAAAAGAGTTGCGCGCTGTTCGTAACAATCACGTGATCAGCGTGATTATTTTCGAAGAATCGCGTCGTTCCCTTCTCAAATTCTAGCCAAAAAAACAAAACAAAACAAAAACAAACAAACAAATAAATAAACGAACAAAACGACGTCAAACGGTCGGAAAAAGTGTGATTTTAGCCCATACTCGATCCACTGGTCCACGATCTTACTGCGCATTTTTTAGTGCCGAACGTAGAGCGCATGTCTGATTGGTGTGATTTGATTGCTTACTTAACCCATTATAGGTATTTTCGAAAAGTATTTATAATTATATTGTCGCTGATAATTTAGAAATGATACATATATATATTTACGATTTTGTGGAAACGTTGTAACCAAAAAAAAAAAAAAAAAGTGTCGCAAAAGCTGTGACAATAATTTTCGTCAATTTTTTCGAATGGGTTAACATATGTGGAGGTCACGTGCAAAGCCACTCCACTGTATGGGGTATATATCGGGAAATCGAACAGGCAGGTAGCGACAAAATGTATACAATAGGATATTGTGCGGACCTTTGGACTTGTGGTAGCGGATAATAAGTCGATGTGTGTTTTGTACGAGAAATGCAATTGTTACGTTATTATTATCGCCTATCGAGTGTGTCATCGGTTCAACAATGGGTCTGGACGTTTGGGACCAGTCGTTGGGAGTAAAAGAGTCTGTGGGTTCTCTTTTCGAGCCACACTCGATCCATTCGAAGGAAGATGCGATTATCGATAACATATCTCGGTCGTTGTTCAGAGAGACAATAAGTATTGCGTCTGAATGATGTCCCCGTTGTGTTCACGATGCGCGTCCTTAAAAAAATAAAAAAATAAAAAAAAAAAGAAAAATTCTTCCTCGCGGTACGTCTCCCGTAATGTCAGCTTGGCATCCAATTTTTGTGGAGGGGAGGGGGAAAAAAAACAAAACAAAAGTGAACGTCGTATCGAGAAAATCAGTGCTTCCAGATGCGAGTGTACGTGATGAATAATTGTTATCAATTGCGCGGACCGGAAATTGGTGGAGCTCTGAATCGCGCCGTTACATATTATTTTTATATATATACACACACATACACATATATATGTATATATCTATCTCTTCTCTTTTTTTTTTTTTTTTTTTTTATTTTATTTTTTTTATTTTATTATTAAATCGTGCCCCGGAACGGCACGATATTGAAACGTTGACGTAGGCGCTCCCGAAACTTTCGAAGAAGTTTTTTTTAGGATTTAATTAGCCGAAGAAGTTTTTTGCGAGACGAATGAGACTGAAGGGGGTGCAATTAAACGGTTCAAATTAAACTCGCTTTTTTTTTCTTCGATTTGAATCACCCCGGATTGAGTTTATTAATCGACGCGTAATCCTCGAAGCGCGCGCGCGCGATTTCGAACAAATCGCGTGTTTTTACAAAATCCGCGATACATCGCACGCGATTTTACGGAAGTGATTACTTAGATTTTTACACGTAAGGTTTTTTTTTCACACCCACACACGTATACACATTCACACTCACACACTGGCGTTTACGACTTACGGAACCCCAGTGCCAACGGATTCAAAAGTAGAATCGTAGGTTTTTTTTTTTTTTTTTTTTTTTTTTAATCATTACTTGTACTTATACGTTTAGAATTTGCTTTTCTCTCGTATGAGTTTTTTTTTTTTTTTTCCACGTTGATACGCATCGCGGCACTTATTATTAAATGATCGCTCGTACAATTGTGGATCGCACAATAGACTGGATATATACGCGAATGCTGGTTTTCATTTTGCGGAGATTGACATCGGTATATAATCTCGTTGCGTTCAATTTCCGATGCCACGCGGATATACACGTAGTACTAAGCGCGCGCACTATAGCCCCCACCGCACCTTGCGGCAATTATCCCTTTCATGATTCCTTTCGGGTGTTGTGTATCCCGAAGTGTGTATCCGCGGAGAGATTTGAAATCGCCGTAATTATATACCCTGTTTCAATCTCGTCGGGATCGTGTTAGCGTTCGGGATTTAATCGTAGACGCACTTTGACTGTTGTGTGAAGCTTCGACATTGTTTCGCGTAGGCGAATCGCTGTCGAAAATCCATGTCAAGAGCGCTTATCGGCTATGAAACACGCGAATTAATTTAGGCTTTATTAGTTACATCGAGATAGAAACGCGAAAATGGAGAGACAGAGAGAGAGAGAGAGAGAGAGAGAGAGAGGATGCGCGAATTGGAGAGAAACGCATTTCAAGTTTGTGCGTCGAATAGACACACAAAGAGAGACGCGTAAACGAAGTTTGTGTTTTGGACGGAACGTCCAAAAATTAAAATTTCGATAAGACTGCAATTGAAAACTCCCCCGGGAACAGGCGCGCACGGCCTTTTCTTTTTTCGCGAATTTAGTCGTTTCGATATTTCGAAACATATCGCGCCCGATTTACGTACGCGGTTCTGATCTATAATTTTTCGAAAAAAAAAAGAAACAAACGCGAAAGAAATTTGTAAAAAGGGTTTGAGGGTAAATGAAAGTTAGCTTTAGTGATATTCTTATACCATACCTTTTCGTTATCGCTTGAAGATCGGGGAAGATAGAAATGCAATGGTTTAATATATATACATTATATATATATATATATATATATACGTGTATATACATATGTATGTGTGTACACACACTCACGCGCGCATATGTATATACATTTTATCCTAATATATTCATTCCACATTAAATGCTTTAGCGAGCTATTTTATATAGACTTACGTTCGTCTAACGAATTTTTGCATAAAGTACCTTACTTTTGTTATAACGATTAATTATTATTATTATTATTATTATTCATATTATATATATCGCAATTATTATCATTACTATCAATTATTAGTAATAATAGTATTGCTGTTAATATTGTTATTAATATTATTATTGGTATTATTATTATTATATATATATATATATTTTTTTTTGCTCTTATTATACACTGTTGTGTTAACGGCTGTTTTCCGTTTCGCGGCACACACTCGCGCGACGAGAACTATCGCGCTATTCACACTTTATATTCCACGAACGGCTCCGCTTCCGTGATACATCCGGCCCGGAATACTTGATTCCGTACTCTCGTCCATTTCAACGACACTTCGTTTCATCTCGACCGAATTTCTCGAAATAAGTCGCGCGCCGCGACTTTTTTTCTACGGTCAGTCCGGCAGGCAGAGAAAAGATCGCGGATTCGAGTCGAAATCGAGGACTCTAAACCAGAACGGGAAGAAACTTACACACACACACACACACACAAAGTTACTGCCGGGAGAGCGCAAAAGTCCGGAAAAGGTTTTTTCAAGGTGCGCATGTTCTCGAAGAAGATGCGTTGAAAGGGTTGTAATAACGTTCCCTCGAAGTGTTCCTTGCCGACTTCTTCCGGACTTTTTCTCGTGTCGCGGCGGAATCGGCACACAAACTATAATATAATCTCTATTTTAAACAACTTCGCAAATAGACAGCCGTAAATACGTATATACATACTTGTCACCGCATAACGCATATATTTTAGTAAAACCTCAACGAGACTCACACTTTCGGCGGGGCCTATTATATGACTTGACTTTGAGAACGCGATTTGCGCGATCGGCTTTTATCGCCAGTAGATCAACAAATAGGCAGAAAATCACAAGACACGCGAAAGCACGCGGAATCGGCCTAAAGCGCGATCGTTGTGTGTGGTTCGGTTTTACATAACGAAAGAGTGAGACAGAGAGAGAGAGACAGAGAGAGATATCGTCTATTTTTCTTGAGGATGAAGCTGCGCTTCGGATCGTCGGGAAGATGTCGAGTGCACAATTGCGAGCGAATGTGAGTTCACGATAATGCGAGAGAGATCGGGACGGCGCGATATCAGCGATGGTCGCAATTACAATCGGTGCCGCATTACAAGGAATCGTTCCGGCGAGATTGCTCGATACGGTCGATACTGCTGTTAGAATGCGAAATGTTTTGCGACGTTCAGTGAAGTGGATTATAGAACTACATCGGGAGAAAGAGAGAGAGAGAGAGAGAGAGAGAGAGAGAGAGAGAGAGAGAGAAAGAGAGACTGGAAGATTGTCTTAGAACGGTGTGTAGAGAGCAAGGGTGAACCGCGTGCGCGAGATTAGCGCTGTGTTATTTTCATTAATTGGATTAAGTTTCCTCGCGATGATACATTCGTTATGCGCGTAAAACGAAACGTCAAAAATTTGGGGTTGAAAATCCACGTCAAATTCACGTTGTGTCACGTGAAATATCGTTGCGGGACGAGAGAGAGAGAGACTCGCGGGATTCGCAACGAAGCTGCAATAAATTTAGATCGCAACTAGAGAATAAGTGACTCGGAGAGTGAAAGACTATTAAGAGAGACTGAATCACATAGCAATCGCGATAGGAACCGAAGAGAGAGAGAAAGAGAATCTGAATGTGTAACGAAATTAGGACGCGTTCTGAGATCGTTTAGGATTCAAAGCGAGAGAGACTTAGTGGCGACCGTTATCATACAAAGCGTGTGAGACTCGATTCGCGCGCGAATACGGATTTCTTTACGCACACACGCGCACTTTGTACTCGTCTTTCTTCTTGGCCAATTTATTATTGTGTGATATACGACTGTGTGGGAGTCGTATTTTTCTTTATCACTACGCGCGCGCACGCGCGCACAAACATACACACACACACATACACACACACGCACAAATATTGTCTTGTCCTCCGTCGATTTGTCGATTCGGCCCGGCCGATTTGCGTCCCGCGGATATATTCGAGCCTTCTCACCGATTCGCGCAACGAATTGCACTCGACAGGTGCATCGACCGTAAGAGCGACGCGCTGCGAATGCGCGACTATAATATATTTTTTTGCAGAAAGTGCACGGGATTTCCCCCCCG